CCCCCGATAGCTTGATGGGGGGGGGATTCGGGGGAGTAAAAGCCAAAACATTTTAACGCTGCCAAGTTTGAAAAACACTGATCTATAGGGTATGTGTGTGTTTTTGGGGGGGGAACTGAGACTGTGGTATATTCTGTTAACCCAACAGAAGACAGGAGCTATCAAGGGCCAAGGTTGGCTTTGTATGTGAATATCAGGGGAGGAAAATGAGAAGCAATCATATTGATAATACTTGTATCAGAACTGCTAATAAAGCAACATTTTAATATTCCTGAGGGTTCAACAGGGTGCTGTGTACGTTATCTTTAGGGCTGATTGCACTCACTTTGCAAGTTGCAAGCTTGAGAGTGAGAGAGGATGGATTTGCTCTCCTGACTGTTTACCATGTTTAAAACACAGGCAAGATATGAACTGGGAATTTTAGAATACAAAAAGGGTGTGGCTGGATCAGACCAAAGGTGGGCCACCCCAGGCGCTCAGATAGATCAATTCTTGCAAAAGGTTTACACCATGAGCCTTCTCTCTTGGCTAAACCCTCCCTCCCCAAACCCTACAGTTTTTAATTGTATGCACCGTGCCATCATTTATTTTGGCTCCTTTCCTTCCAGCCACAATGATGGTTTTGCGATTGTCACTGTGACAAATCTCCCATCTTACCTGCCTTTAAAGGAGCCTGAAAAATGTGGCTTTTCTTCCAGGTGTTGGATGAACGTGCAATTGGGCCTTTCTACGTCAGGGGATGGGGCAAAAATTTTTTGGGATGTGCTGCCTCCAGATGACCATTGTTCTTTTTATATAATATTGTTTCTATCAGGTTTGATTGTTAAGCTATCCAAAGTCGTCGTGGAGTTGGGCAGCCTAGAATTCAATGCATAGATAAATAAACTGCAGGATTTGATATCTGGATGTTTTAGAAACCAGAGAAATGTGGAGTCCTTGGGGTTCTCTGAGCTTGGTTGTTTTCTTGCAAACGTTTCATTACCCGTCTAGGTAACATCTACAGTGCTAGAATGGAGTGGAGTTTGCTCTCTGTTTATATACAGTTGCCCGTTACCTAGCTGAGTAACGAAACATTTGCAAGAAAACAACCAAGCTCAGAGAACCCCAAGGACTCCACATTTCTCTGGTGGCTGGGGAATTCTGGGAGTTGAAGTCCACACATCTTAAAGTTGCCAAGGTTGAGAAACACTGGTTTAGATCAAAGCTCCAGTGTTGGCCCAGCTTACTGCTTTCCTCCATTTTGAGAATTAGATTCCAAGAATTGTGCTACAAATTCTGTCAGAAACCAGTTAATGCATTCCACTTTCATTGGGCTTCAAAGTGATGAGATGTTGGCATCAGGGTTTGCTGGTGTTCCTCTTTCTCTGCTCCAAAGTTTGCAACAAAGGATCTCAGAAAAATAGTACACTGCTGGAAGCTTTGTGCATGCAGTGGCAATTATATGGCAAAAAAGATCTTACACACAGAAGAAAGCGCACATATTCTTTCATCCTAATCTGCAATCGGTAAAAGAAACTAGAAAGGTTGAAGAAATTTCCAAGAGTAGAGCTACGGTAATTTCTGTCTCTTCCCCAGATTGACAGCACATCAGAGTGGCTTCAAGTCAATTTTAAGAAGATGGTGCGGGTGACAGGATTAATAACTCAAGGCGCCAAGTCTGTCTTCACCCACATGTTTGTAAAGGAGTTTTCTCTTTCCAGCAGCATGGATGGCAAAAACTGGACAGCTGTTCTTCAAGATGGGGAGAAACAGGTAGGTACCATTTCTACATAGCTCAGTCTTTTCTTATCAGTTAAACGGTCTAGGGAAAGCAACAATTACGTTCTTCTCATTGTTTCAGATTTTCCAGGGAAACCAAGATTATTTCCAGCCCGTGATGAACTTTCTGGATAACCCATTCTTTGCCAAGTATTTGAGGATACACCCACTCAGCTGGAACAACCACATTGCACTCAGGATGGAAGTGTTGGGCTGTGACACGGAGCAGATGGACTAGTGACGATGAAACTGTCTCCTGCTTTTGCTGCAAACACTTAGAACAGGAGAACCCTCCCATACGTAGCCCACTGCAACGTATTTATCATGATAAACCAACTTCCATTACCCGTGTATTTTTGACAACAGTGTTTTGCTGCATAAGAAACAACATAAAGTCTCTGAAAAAATGTTGCAATAGTATAATGCTTGATATTTGTCTACGGTGGGCTTTGTTATGATCACATTTTGGACTTTACGAGCAGTAATGTATTTTCCCTTATCAACCTTGCACTGGACTTCTTAGGGCCAGGATGTTAGCTGCATGAATTCCTGTGTTTGGTTTTATATTTTTAGCTAGCTGGCGGGAGGAGTTGAAATGGGCACTTTCTTCCCACATCACTGTTCTAATGATGTTCTTTCCAAAGTTTCCACTGATATCAAAAGAAGGGGAAAGCATCGTCAGCATTATCTCCTGCTGACTCATGAAAGAGGAGGAACATTTTCCTTTTGGGGATATATAGTAGCCAAGCAGAAATCCTAATAGTAGAGTACTGAATTTGCTATCCTCCAATATTTTGAGGAAGCTACAAGTAGCTCCTGAAAGCCACATTAACCTGTAGGAGGCCAAAACATCTAGTCAATGTGGCTAGAAGTGAACAAAAGACTTATCCCTTACTAGCACCAGCCTTCCCTTGATGTTGGACTACAAGCAGCCATGTAGGTTGGGACTGATGGGAATTGTCATCTGTCACATCAGGAGGGTGTCCAGTTGGGAAAGGTTGACTTATTTACTGCTGCTGTTGAACCACCTCCACCGCATGCATGACCACATCAGAACTGATCAAACTACCAGTAAACTACCCTCTGCTTCCCGCAACTGTCTAAACGGGGATTCCACCATTTTAGTCACTCTTGTCCCCAAATCCTGTTAAGCGAAATCAAATACAGGTGGGTCCTTCAGGTATTACCAAACTGCATATTCAGCATTTGCGTATCATTTGCTCGAGGCGGACGTGAATGGGTGTCTGTAGCTGGAGAATACAACCGCGTAATTAAAGAATGCTTGTCTCATGAAGATCTGTACTTTCTCCCCTTGTTTTCCTTGACTGATGCCTCAGCACAAAAGTCACTGCAGCAGACTGAATCAGCATTAATAGCTGATAATAATTAATAACCCAGTGAGGGACTCCTCCCAGCTGGTGAATTTCCCCCCATAAGTGTTAATGCTTCCAAATAGGACCTCGGCATTATTCAGAAGAACTTAGTTTATTATTTTATTTATCTTAGGCTCGCTCTTTCCAAAGGCATTCTCTCCAAGATTTACTGAATGGTTGCCAGTTGCAGGGAGCACTGACAAGCCAAAATTTGAAACAGGATGTAAGAGTGATGAAGACAATGAAAACCAGTTATAAGACCACCTAAGGAGCTTTGGGTCATGGTTAAAGAGAGAAGGGGCAGATTTTGCAAGGCAAGAGGTTGTATAACCAGGGTGCTACCACCAAAAAGACCTGACTCTTAGTGAATAGAGAGGTTCCCAAAGCTATCCTAGGACCATAGTAGGTTCCTGTGATTACAAGTGGTCCTTCAGAAACAGCAAAGATATTTGACAGGCTAACCTGCCCCACCCCCCACCCCCACACATCCATGACAGCTTGATTCTGGGAATGCTAAAGATCCCACTGTGATATTGGCTGGGATATTCCAGGAGTTATGATCCCAACACATCTGGAAGGCACCGAGGTGAAGAAGGTTGTCTTACAGAGGCTTAAGTGAGATCACAAAGGTTGCCAGGTTCCACATGCAAACAGTTGAAATCAGCTGGGCACACCTAAGCTTGGATCTGGAGTTTGTTGAGAGTGGCAGTCTAGTAGGATTTGTAAATGGCATGCTGGGTCCGTGTTGGCCCCCAGAATATTTGGTTAGATCCTTTTGGACTGGGGAGAGCATTCTGGTTTCTGATCGTGAGAGAATTGTTTTGGCTCCACACTTTTGACAAAATTAAAAACATCTCACCCACATCTCTGTGGGTGACCAGTGGAGTGGGACAGTGGTCTCAGAAAGCAGATGCTGAAGGTTCGGGGAAGGGGGTGATGGAGACATGTTCTGAAAGAGATATAGCTGAGCCACTCACTTTGAGCCTGGGGCAAAAGACAAAATGGCACCTCCACTTGTTCCAGGTAAAGAAGCTGAGTGGCCAAACAGCTGGATCGTAGTTCTGCACTGGTAATGGGCCAGATGTTCTCCTCTGAACTTGAAGGCAGCAGGCTAAAAGATAATAAGTTCATGGCAGGGCATCTGAAGCACAGTTTGTCCTCCAACGCCTTGTGCCCCCTTAGTATATACTGTAGAGGCAACTGCTTCATGCTGTCCAATGAGAGAGCTAGTTTAAGCAGTCACGCACTGGGCCAGCCTAACCATTGGATAACATGAGCAATTGTCTCAGATTCTGACCTGGGGATACGGATGTTGGTAAGCGAATTCTCTGTTCTCGGAATTCTAGGAAATCATTCCTGTTCCTTGAAATGAGAAATTCTGAGACCTGGATGCTGGACAGTTTTAACTGGTCCACGTTTTGGCATCCAACTATACCTTCCACTCTAAAGTGCAAATTAGAGTGGAATTATCCTCCTGATTTGGCCTTTTCCCAACATTTGCAGTGTAGCAGACGTGCGTGCATGTGTGTGTCCAAGAAGAAGGTATAACTAACGTCACCTGTGTCCCAGGAAACCATGGATGTCATGTGGCAAGAAATGGTATGCTTCCAGGTGCTGTCTGTGGCCATGTCTCCACTGTGCGTCTGGGGCATTCACAGGGCTGAGAAGATGCCCCGCACCATCGTCTTTCACAACAGGGTTAGAAGACACATAGCTGAGAAACAGCCTGGGCAACGCTTTGTGCCTCTACAGGAGACCGCAAAGCCAAACCCTGGGAGCCTAGGATACACAGTCCGACGTGAGTTTTTAAAATAGTCACATGATGGCTGGGTGGAATGGTCTAATATGGGAGGAAATGTCTTCTCCATCTCAGCCCAGTTTGCTTAGAGTCACAAACTGGGTAATATTTTAAGAACAAAGCAATAATCCTGGTTGGATTAGACGCCATGGACAACCGAGCCCAGCATTCTCTTCCCCAATTTGCCACCCAGATGCTAACATGTACCCAAAAGTTTTTCTTGCTCATGTTCCTCAGCTACACATAGTCAAAGGCCTTTGGTACAGAAGGTGATACATAACCCTTATGACAAGTAACCGTATTCTTCCAAATTCTTTTTAAACCTGTCCAGGCTACCACTTGTCCTTACATAGTTTGCTTGCAAATCCCATAATTTGATCACATATTGCATGGAGAAATATTTTGTATCCTACCAATTTCTCACTAGTATACTTTTACATTACACTGGATTTGGCTTCTACTGCCAAGAGGGAAAGAACCTTTGTCCAATTTACTTTTTTCACACCATGTATTTTCTTCTGAATTTTTCATTTCCCTGTCTTATTTCCGCCCCTCCCCCCTCCTCAGCTGCCTCTTGAAGGAGCTAGACAAAGAGTTGCTGATTCTAAATATAAATCTATATATTTAATATGACTGAGATATAATAAACTGCCGTTACAGGTTGTTCTGGATTCAGCAGTATACAAGTGCAATAAATACATTCCTACATACTGAAAAGAATATTGAGCATTATGATAATGGCAAGAGATGAGTGGGAACC